TGAGGTTCTCGATAATGGTTGAAGTAGTTGAATAGGAGGATCGATATGACTATGGCCCTTGGTAAATTTACCAAAGATGAAAATTATTTATTTGATATTATGGAAGACTGGTTATTCGCTTTTGTAGGCTGGTCCGGTTTAGCTGCAAGATTTCAGAAGTTTGGGATAACAACTACAATATGAAAATGTTAGGGGAAAGTCTACAATATTTTAAAGGTTTGCGGCGAAGTAGCAATTATCCCTATTAAAATTCCAACGTCTTTTTCTCTTCAAAATTTCCGGATAACCTGGTCAAACAATTTGGGGACTTGCAAATTAGTAGTGGCGGCCCACGATCCTCAAACCACGATAAGCAATTTACAAGAAGGCTGATCATGTAAGCTTTATAGATAGTAATTCAGTCGTTATTGTGAACTTTCAAATTTAAATAAGAAAATAAGAACATAACAAGTTAAGATGTCATGAGAGCGTGTTCTACGTTCATTTAACATATAAAGTTAAGAGAAGAATTAAGGGTTCGTTTGATAAGTAAATGTGGAAAGGAATTCCAATTTCACGTTAGTTGGAAAATAAAAATTCACCAAACCTATAGGAATTCGTTTTCCATAAAAATAAAGAAAATACAGTTTAAAGTGATTATACATTGAAATTTTGTTTCCATTTTCACGTTGCAATCAAACGGTCAAAGTAAAATTCGTTTTCCTCATATGTGACATTTTCCATGGAATTCGTTGCAATCAAAGAGGGCCTAAGATATTTTGAGTGAGATTTCTTATAACAAAGTTCAACGTAGTTGAATATTCTAAATTCACATAAAATTGGAAGTTACAAAATAATCTAAGCTAAAAATGCTAAATTGAGACTTGCTATAAGTACATGAAAATTATAAAGAATTGATACAAAAATTTGAAATGGAGGGAATACATTCAAAATGGAAAGAGGGAAAACAACACACAGACGGACATGATGCTACCATTCAAATTCCTGTTAAAAATCTGTGAGTTATTTCCTGTACTTGCAGCATTTTTCTAATTATGAATAAAATACATTTATCAAGAAAGTCAATCAAAATGCATATTTTTACGTCTAAAATAAGTGTTTGACAAATATGTCTCATCATTAATTATAATTGAGAACGAGTTTAATTAAGCTGTTTATAGAAGATAGAGATATATGCTCCAAGTCTTCCATCTTGACGTAGCTTTTTTCAATCAAACGCAATAATCTCAACTAAATTATAAGCTGTTCACTTACTTATCAGTCAAATTATTTTCTTAGAAATCTTAATTACAATGTAGCCTGAAAAGATGTGGATTTATTCAATCAAACGCAATATTCGCAACTAAATATGGAAAAGCTGTTAAAAGTCTAAAACACAATTAATTAATTGTTTTTGAAATTTCTCCCTTCTTAATTAATCAATTTACTGTTTAGCAAAAGAGTTAATTTCACTAACGATAATTGAATTTTGAAATAAATTTTAAATTTCTTTAAAATTTTTATTCTTACTCCCAATAGTCACTCAAGTTTGTAAAGATTGCATTGATTATCGCTCAATTGAAAACGTCAACAAAAATCCTACATGTCAATAAATTCCACCCTCGACACGAAGGGCGCATTTTTGTACGCCACGAACTTAATTAATGGAACACGAACTTGTCATGCACGTACAAAATGACGTCACTTGAATCGAAAGTCGGATTTTACTGTGATATGTAGGATTTTAAGCTGACATTTCTTACCGAGTAACCATCATTGTAACTTTTACAAACTCGAGTGATCTCTATAATAAAAAGTGACCATTTCTTGAATAGCCGTTGCTGAAATTATCTCTTTAACAAAATGATACATTATTGGGCCAACCTAAGAGCCCTTTTTTTGGCAGTAGATGCTGCTTCCTATAAAGAAACCATGTCGTCATTTCATACTTATCCTTAAATCCATTTGGGGAATCCTATGTGATTTTTTTTTTATATATTCGTGTATCTATAAAAATACACCTTAAAATTGGCTTTTTTGCTTGTTTGATTCAAATTGAGAGATTCTGACAAAAAGTAAAAAGTAAAAACCTTAACTTTTGTAACTATGGTAAATTGTTTTGTTCATCAGTGCAGATCCCTAGAAACTTTCTTTACACTGAAGTAGCCCTTTACGTTAGCTCCCAACCGATTACCCTTATCAATTTCCAAACTGGTAAAAAGTAAGTTACTTCTTGTGTTCACATTTTTTCTTTTTTTTCTTTTTTCAAAGTCATATCTTACTTTTTGAGAATAGCAACTTTGATTAAAGCCGAACAAGTCGATGCTATTTCCAAAATACGTGTTCAAAAGGTATCATATTGAGAGATTTCAAGAGTTGTTATCTACACTCGAAATCATGAAATTGGAATTGACAGTAATCGCATATCAAAACATACACTTGATCGCTAGTTACGATAGTTCACCAAAATCTCTTTCATACTTCAATTTCTTTTCACTCAAATGGGTTCAGAAACCTATAAAGAGCCAATCTATTGATAGATTTTCACTAGTCGAATATCCTCCGTTAATCGTCCATCCACTGCTAAAAAAAACTTGATGGCCGACAGTAGGCGATTGACACAGACTTCATGTAACAAGTGTGCCACTAACGGTTAGCCTATATAAAATTAGTTTGATTGACGTTACTTTTACCTTTTTATCGAGTTATTATGTCGTATTACATTTAACCTTGGCACAAATTAGATAAACCTCAATTATTTCAAAACGTCCTTGTCATCAAGTGGTGGTGTGCGGACCAATAAATGAGTGTACCAAACCAGCCTTAAAGTCATAGAAACCCCACATAAGATTCTCATACATCAACCTCAATTATCAATGGTTTTGTCCTTTTACTCCCAATTGAAGAACGAAGAGGGACTTCTGGTAAGCCAATAGAGATTTCATTCTGGTTTGGTGGGACAGAAATCACAGAGAATAATTTCAGGCCATGAAAAAGATTTTTACTTTTAATTTAGAAAAAAAAAAAAAAACTCACCTTAAGTTCATGGCAATTTCAGAAAAAAAACCCGTCTGCCTCTTAGCAAAAAATTATCATCTTGTCATTTTCTCTCAAGTTATTCTTATTTATATGATTGTGTTTCTTTCTTGTTTCTCTTTCTTAATTTTGATTTAGACAAAATTAAATTATTTTAATTTTAATAAGTTTTTTTTTTATCTTTTTTTTTTCCCATAAGTTATTTTACCATAATCATATTTTTGTAAAATATTGATTTTTCATTTAATGGAGAAACAAAATGTATCTGATATATTTAATAAAAAGATGAACTAAAAATATCTAATAATTAAAACATTTGATGCAAACATTAATATTACTCCAATTTTCTAAACTTAGTATAGTATAAAAATATAAATATTAGAGAAAAAGTTACTAAATCAAGCAATGTAAAACATTTAAATAATTTTCAACTATCTTTGTTAAATTACACTAAAAAATATATTTATGTTAATTTTTTAATTAATTCACATTTGTATTTGAAAAAAAGAAAAATCTTATTTAATAATTTTATTTTTATAACAATATTTATAATGGTAGTAAAATTTTCAACTAGCTTTATTAATTTTTTTCTAAAACAGTCAATTCATTTTAATTTGTTAATTATTTGTCAATCATATTTGAAAAAAAAAAAAATACTTATTTATAATTTTATAAATTTCATAGTAAGATTTGTATGACAATTTTTTTATTTTTTTCACTAAAATGATTTCTTCACAATATAAAGTATGAAAAAGTATATCTTAAAAAATAAGAAAAGAAAAATACATAGTTTAAATATAATAATAACAATTTTAAAATAGAACATGGGTAAAATGAGAAAAATAATTTATTACAAAAAGTAAATATCATGGAAAGTTTCTGAAATTTATAGAGGAGATTTAGGGTGGGCAAAAAAATCGAAAAACTGATCAAATTGACCAAACCAAATCGTTGGTTTGAACCAAAAAAATCGATTTGGTTTGATTAATTTTAACTATTAAAAAGTTAAGTTGGTTGGATTGATTGCAGTTTAAGCAACTAGCCCGTCAATTAATCGATCCAACCCGCCAATATATTTTTGTTATTTTTTCATTCTAAAATTCTTATTTTTAAACTTCAAAATATAAACACAAATGTAATTCTTTCTCAAAAAAATTGTTTATAGTCTATACTTCTTCTACTACATCTCTAAACTTCAAAAGAAAAGAAAAGGAATGAGAAGAATTGTTTGTTGCAGACTCCAAATTTCAATTGTATGCTAGCTTTTTATTTTGGTGTAATTGTTTGTTAATAATTATCGGATACATAAAACGAGTTTAGAAAAATCGACCATTTACCATTTACATTATATATATTATTGATGCCAACTATTCAAGTAAAAAAAAGAAGCATATACACACATATATTGGCAAGCATATTTTTTAACTCGAACAAATGTCCAAACTCGAACAATTGGTTCAATTCGATTTCAACTATTGAATTGGATTGATTTCAACTTTTTTTTAGGGTATAATAAGTCTCATGTTTAATTCTCTTTAAAATAAAATAATTATCATATTCATTTTCAACTATATGCTCATACAATAAAATATATGCTCATATTACTGTGATTTGTTAATTGTTATCAACAATTATAAATTATTATTATTCAATGTGTTAAAAAACGTAAGTAAATTTATAGTAATTATATTGATTAAGTTTTCTTAATCAGTGTGAAAATAAAAATAAGTTTATTTGTACGAGCACGGATAAATAATTGGAAAGGATTTTGAAAATAAACTTTAATTCAGCACATGAAATTTAGTGCTAATACACTGATTTATTCATAAAAACTACATGTTTTTGTACATAAAACTACTATATCAGCAACCATAAACTACTGAGAACTAACATAATAATCTAACTTAAAACTTATAAGTAACTAGCAAATAAGCAAAAGCTAAAATTTAAGAGAAGGGCCTTAATCAAGAATCTTGAATCTTAATTCAATTGGATCTCTCAGCATGGCGGATAAATAGGGATTCCAAGTCCGGAGGATTAAAGAACTCTCTACCACCATTAAAATGGCAGGAGGCAGCAGGGCGGCGCTTCCGGGGGGCGGGCGGGCATCGCAATTTCTCCGTTATCCTCGATTCTCTTCCGGTTGGAGTTGTCGAACGGGCGTCTTCATCTTCACATCCCTCTTGAGGTTCTGTCGATATCGATTTCAGTGGAGCCCATATAGGTTTACCAGCAATTAACCATTTCTTGGATTCTGATTCCTTCCCTCCCTCAATTTGATGCTTCTTAGAAAAACCCATCTCGAAAATCCAATTAATTCGACCCAAGATCTTTCTTCAAGCAAGGGAGAAGCGGAAAAGGGTGATTTTGGAAATGCTCAAGCCACCTTTTAAACAAAAGGGTACCAAAATAGTCAGAGAGAGGAGAGAGACAGATGGCGGCAAAATGAGATAGGGATTGTGGTATAAAGACATTTATATATGAGAGAGAAACAGAAACGGCGGTGCGGCTGCCCGTGAAAATTTCGGGCAGCTGAATAATTTTTCGATTTTTGGCGCCAATTTGTGGCCACTAACGGCTATATTCCCGCCTTTGAATTGCTGCAGTGTTCAGAATTGTATTTGGGCCGGGTTTACGCCAAGGCACACTAAGCAAGTAGAAAGTTGGTGGGTGGATGTACGAGTGGACAAAATGACGAAATCAAATCGGAATCAAATCATATTTAGCAATTCGATTCAATTTTACAAAAGAATTAATGATTTTGGGTCTTAGAAATGAAAATTATTTAAATTAGATTATTATTATGCCATTATTTGATACTCATTATTTTAAAATATATTTTTGTATCTCTTATTTTCAACTACACATTCTTCAATAACATAATATTATACGCAAATTCAAAAAATTTCTTTATTTTTTAATCACATATTCTCCTTCAAAATATTATTTCAAATTTTCATTAAAAAAAAAAGACTCAAACTGGCTCTATATATATTCTTTACAAATTAGTGAATCACAATTCATACCAAAAAATTCAAAATTTGGTTGAAAATGTGACAAAAGATCTTGTACTTTCGATTTCTCATTTTTCAATGTGGTTACTTGAGACCCTAATTCATTTCTCATTTTCAATTCGAATCTCACACGGAGACCAACAGCTATCACTTACCGTCTATCGTTGTGCACTTGTGCTCAACCACCACCTCCGTATGAATTTTTGAAATTGAAGTCTCAACCTTCGGTCCTTCTTCCTCAAATATTCTTTCATTTTTTTTCTCAAGTAGCAGTGAAATTAAATGGTTCGGTTTCAGTTTGATTCCATATCTTAAAAAAATCATTTGGTTCCATCATAAAAAAAATTATTGGTTCATAGTTCGATTCGATACTCTTAAACTAGAACAAGATGAAACCATATCTACCCCTAGATGAGCGTGCTTGAAGCTATGGCTCATAAATATGCGTGCATGGTCCATGAAAATAAATCAAATACAAATTGAAAATATTGGAGCAATAATCCGTCCCCTCCTCAGACTAAGATGGTTTGTAGGGTTGAGAAGCCAACTTATGAGTGTAAATGGCTCGTTTCAAGTCTTTCTTATGTTGGATAAAGATTTTGCCGGTGTAAATTCATTTGTATTGATTACATTTTGAAATAAATATTAATTTATTTTTAAGAAATTATTTCTACTAGTTTGAGGTTACATTTTGTTTATGGATCGATTTGATATTATAAATCAAGTATTTAAGTTGTTAAACATGGAAATATTCGATTTATAATTCAATCTAAATTTTATTGTCCACAGTTGATAAATAAATAAGAATGTCTCAAATTTTATTAAAATTGATCTTAAGTTTGGTAATAAAATTGAATATACATTTTAGAATGTATTATACTGAATCACGTGAAATTTAATTTATGAAATTGACCAAATGAATTTAATTTCACTTGATTGTTGTATGTAATACCTTACTTTTGAGTGGCTAATGGGTTTCGATTACTAACTTGAAGTTTTTTGAGCTATTAATAGGTGAGATCAAATTGTTGATCTTGATGTTGAACTACGGTTGACGACTCGTTTTGATTATTACAAACAAAATTGCATTTATCGCTAACAAATTGATTTCAAATGTCTCTAGCGATTATTGAAAACAAATAGAATTGACAACACGAAGATTCGAGACGATAGCGATTTGTATGCGACGATCGAATTGGAACTTAAAGATTCGTAAAAGATGCAAATCAAGATACAAGTCAAAAGAACGACAAAGTCAAGACGAATAGACATTCTATCGGATGTACGATAGTTTTACGCCACGACAAAAAATGCAACCGTTCTAATTTTCTGACACAACAACTTGTTAAGCGTCAGGTACTATAGCGGACGTGCGGTACGGTGCGTCCTGTTTGACAAATTTTTGACTGTTTTGCTCCTCTAAATACCAACTCACTTTGCATTCAATTTCAACGATTCTAAGAGTAATAAGTGAGCATTTATTGAGATAAATTCGTGGTCTTTATTACTTATTCATCTTTATAAATTGATTTATATTTTAAATTTTTTTTATTATTCTGAACTTAGAAAGTCAATTTTATCAAAGTGTTTCAAATCCAACACTTGAGCTATATTCATTGCTATCTATTAAAGTGTTTGCTTTCTTCTTTTTTTGTTCTCAACTTTGAATCTATTATTCGTTAAGAAGAGAATATTTCACTTGTAAACTCATTTGAATCGAGGGTCACATTGAGGTCCCATAAAGGTCAATAGTGTGGATCGTGTTGAGATCTTGTAAAACTCAATATTGTCTAAGGATCAGTGCTCCCTATTTGTAAGTCACTGAAAGTTTTGTAAATGATTGGATTGCACCATAAGTCAATCACGATAGTGGACAAGGCCTTGCTCGTTACAAAAAGTTTGGTAATGAGGGACGTAGATTAAGTTTGGGATCGAACCTCTATAAATATATCGTTTGCATCATCTCTCCCTTTTATTTATCGTTTTTATACTTATGTTTGTTATTTAATTAATCAATTTGTTTCTTATTTGCTTGAAATTAGATGAATTTTATGAAAAAGTTTTAAAAACCAATTTACCCCCCTCTTGATTAGCTATTCTTGAGCTTTCAATTGGTATCAGAGTACGGTACTCATTTTTAAAGATTTCACAATCTTGAGAAATTGCTAACGCTATGTTTCAAAATCACGAGGGGCACTCCACAAACCGACCTCCTTTCTTTGACGGCACACACTATAATTATTGAAAAGTAAGAATGATGATTTATATTCAATCTATTGATTACAATATTTGGGAAGTCATTGAATATGGTCCATATGTGCCAAATAAAGTTATTAAAATTGATGGAAAACTCGATGAAACAATTCATAAACCTAGAGAGGAATATGATGAAGATGACAAAAGAAAATTGACCTTAAATGCTAAAGCCAAGAATCTACTTTATTGGGTTCTAGATAAAAACGAATTTAATCGTATTAGCATATGTGATTCCGCTTATGATAGTTGACATGCTCTAGAAGTTACTCACATCGGTACTGGTAAAGTAAAAGAAACTAAGATTAATATCTTAGTAAAAGAATTTGAAAACTTCTTTATAAAACAAAGTGAATCAATTGTTGATATGATTACTTGTTTTATCGATGCTATAAATGGATTGAAAGGATTCGATTGCAAATTTACTAATGGTGAAATTGTAAACAAAATGCTTAGGTCGCTTTCGAAGGAATGGAGCCCATTGATGATGTTGATAGAAAGCACCAAAGATGTCAACACATATCCTCTGGAAGAACTCTACAGAACATTGATGATCTACGAACTCAACAATGCCGAAATCAAGGAAAAGACAAGAAAGAGCAAAGAAGATTCAAAGGAGGCTCCTAAGCGCCAAATTGCTTTAATCGGCTATTGATGAAGGAACAACGAGCAATGACATGAGCGATGAAGAGATCGACGATTTGGTCCTTATTTTCAAAAAATGGAGAGACTTTCGAAACAACCGAAGATTCCAAAATAAGGAAGAAAAGAATGAAGAAATGGGCAAGAAAATCGTTTGTTACATCTTGCCGTTTGGTCATCCTTATGAAAAAATTGAGAAATTTTCGAAACAATGGAAGATTTCAAAAGAAGGAAGAAAAGAATGAAGAAAGAGGCAAGAAAATCGTTTGTTACAATTGTGACAAATCAGGTCACAAAAGAACCGAATGCCCAAACAAAAAGAAACTTTTCGATAAAAAGGCTCTTCAAGTCATTTGGGATGAAAGCGATGAAGATGTTGATGACAGAAACAATAGCTAAGAAGAAGTGGCCAACTTGTGCTTCATGGCAATCAACAACGAGGTAAACTCTATCGAAAAAGATTCATATGACGAATTATCTATTTCCTATGATGAAATGCTAGAAGATTTTGAAAAACTTGCATTAAGTCATTCCATTCTTAAAAAGAAAAATTTCTTATTAAAAGAAGAAATAAAGAAAATTTCGGGAAAAAAATTGATCATGTTCTATTAATTAAGGAAAACACTTCTCTAAAAGAAAAAGTTGAAGATTTAACAAAAATTGTTTATAAATTCATTGAAGGGAAGAAAAATTTTGATTTAATGCTTGGAAATCAAAAATGCGTTTTTGACAAAGGCGAAATTGGATTCAAACCCTCCTTAAAACAAAAATCTCTCAAAAACATATTTGTCAAAGCTTCAAATTCAAATATTACATGTAATTTTTGTGGTAGACAAGGACACATTGCTTTTAATTGTTTAAGTAAAAAGAAGCAATATTTTGAAAGAAAACAAGTGGATTCGAGAATCTACTAAAACTAACTATCAAGAACCCAAAATTGTATGGGTAGTAAAAATCAAAAATTAAACTATGCCTTATAGGTACCAAAGAAGACGAGAAGCAAATGGTTCTTGTATAGCGGATGTTTAAAAAATATGACCGGAGATCAATCGTTATTATCAAACTTCAAAAAGAAAGATGGAGGTCATATAACATTTGGGGACAGCACAAAAGAAAAAATTATCGGCGTTGGTAACATCGGTAATCACTCATCCCCGTCTATTGAAAATGTTTTACTTGTTGATAACCTCAAACATAATTTACTAAGTTTTAGTCAATTATGTGATAAAAGTTATAATATAAAATTCAATTCTTCCAAATGTTACATTAAAGATGCTACATCAAAAGAAGTAATTTTCGTAGGAAGTCGAAGTAAAGATGTTTATATCATAAATATTGAATGTGAAAACAGCGAGCATTGTCTACTTTGCTTGAAAGAAGAAACATGGCTA